TGAAACACAAACACACAGGTTTGTAATTATATCTTTGTGGGGACTCTCCATTCATTTCTATGGGGAAAACTCTAATCCCAACATGCTGACCTTAACCCCTACCCAGCCCCAACCTTAACCATAAGCAACCAAACAAAATACGAGACTTGGCATTTTTAGTTTTTTGATTGCAGTCACAGGCTGTCCACGACGTAAAAATGACAGGTTTTATGACAGGTCCCCACAATGTAATATAAACCTAATCCACACACACACACACACACACACACACATACATGCATGTGTATGTAGTGCAAGTTCTTGTTGCACTACATAAACAAAAAAAAATCACAGAACACAGGAACACTGGCACACAACAAAGACACAAAGAACACATAAAAAACCTGCAGCTTAAAAACCTGGACCCCTCCCCAGTCCTTCCACTAGCCCCCACCTCCTAAGGAGTGTTATCACCCATCAGTCAGTTTCCCAAGACACATGCCAGGATTCATCACAGGGAAAACACAGAGCAGAAAAACCCTTTAGCCTCTATTATAGAGGGAGAGACCAACTATGAAAAGGAGGGGAGGACAAGAAAGGACGACAGAGTGATGGCAGGAAGGTAAACACAGGCCGGCGGCCATGGGGGGAGGGGGAGGGGTTATTGCAATCAGCAACTGACACAGGTGTGAAGACAGAGTGGCCAAGGAGAGAAGAGGCCAGTTTAGGGATAGGGGGAGGGTCCAATGAAGTTCCTGAGCAAAAAGGTCACCTACACTTTTTCTTCACTGGATTTTCACATTTCTCTCATTTACCCACCACGTCTATCCAGAGACACTTACAATAAAGCTACATTTTTTTTTACACTCCTAGGGATTTGAACTCATGACCTTTGCATTGTTATCACAATACTCAACTTGTTAAGCTACAGTACTATTACTTAATTCACTGATTTCAAGTCAGACGTGCCCGTCAATCAAACCCTTCCTCAAAATGCTCCTCACACGTCTCTCGCTGCCACCCCAGCGGATCAGACCTTTGCTCCCTTCGATTTTGTTCCCCGGGGAGGTTGAGCACAATCCCACACCGCCCTGGCACCGGTGGAGATCCGCCGTCCCTAGATACTCTAAATGTCAGGAGTGTGATACAGACTGCAGCAAACAATGCCCCCCTCCCCCAAAGAAACAGCTCTGTCGGAAGGTGGGAACAGAGTCCTTATGATTATTAGCACTAAAAAGTGGCATAAATCTGAAAATTACACACAGCGTCTGATATGTAGATCTCAGCTCATTTGTGATGTAACTTCTTGATTCTGCTGTTTTGAGACCCAAATATGTTGTGTTTGACAGGTATGGTATACCCTCATTCAGCCAGATTTTACTGAGCTGTCATTGACCAGCTTTGAGCAAAATTAGCCTCTAGCCTGAGATGATAATTGGGACTTCTGTTGTCATGCTCAGAAGTGCTGACGCTCTCTGCTGGTTTCATTTATTGATTTCCGGAGATTCCCCACGCATGACCTGGGAACCAACAGCTCCCAGGAATCATTAAACTTGAGCTCTGCACCGGACGTCCTGAAGTGAAACTGATGCAAGCTTGATGCCGAGAGTAAGCACTGGCCCATCCTGTTTTTGGGTGAGGGATTTGGCGCATGATGGTCAAGGCTGGGGGAGTTCAGTCTGCAGAGCGCCATGTCATCAAAGCTGCTTATGGAGTACAGGCTCGCGGTGAGTAGACTCCCGATGGCATGCAAGGCCACACACACACTATGGGCCCTTCGTCTGATTGGATGTTTTTCAACTGTGGGAAGACAGAGAAGGACCCAGAGGAAGCCCACATGAAATGGGGAGAACAGACAGAGCGCAGGGGCAAGTCTAAACCCTTCTGAGGGGGGCTTCTGCAACCCTATATTTTGTCTTAGCCCTCCTAAAAAATAATTTTTCTAAATCCATTTAGCGGTTTGTCCCGTATTTTTCTACACAAGTTTTTCTTTATGAATTTTTATCATCTGGGATCCTGTGGGGGGGTGGGTCCCTGTTTCTTCATATTGAAAGCAGCAACCCTACTGGGGCACTGAGCCCCCCCCAGGACTCCAAGCATTCTGATTTTGCTGAGTTCCATGTGCCCCTGGTCAACAAGGGAGGGGCTTATGTTTCGTTTCTTTAATCAATCACAGCCATCATCATCATCATTAATTAAAACCAGTGTTTTCTGTTAAGGGGTAAGGTGCACAGATTTCTAAAGTCCCCGTTTTATCGTGTATGTCTTTTGTTAAGGGACGTGTCACAGATAATCATAGACAAGGCACAGGATAGAGCAGCATATTACAGAAATGTAAGCGTGCATCTTTATTTCATGGTGGTAACAGAAATAACAACAACGACAATAATAATAAGATTTGAACCAGCAACCTTCTGCTCACAAGCCCAGAGGCTTAGCCCACTGAGCCACACACTGCACCTGACCTGATGGCTGGATGGCAACAAGCCTTGAGTTTGAAAATGAGAAAAAAGAAATTGACTGATGTGGTGATGTCATACAATAAAGCCTGTTAAAGAAATTAAACGCGAGTCCCTCCCTTTTGACCCTGGGATACTTCAAACTCGGCACAATCCTGGTGTTGTGAGGCAGTAGTGCAACTCGCTGTGCCACTCACCATCAAAACCCATAGTTTGAGTTCTGGGTCCCAGGTTCAGTGGGACTTACACAACAGACTCCCTCTACTGTCTATGGGGAAATCTCACACCGCAATACATTTATATAATTTTACATACACTATCTTCCACCCATATTTCACAGCTTTGAAGACCTTCAAAATCAAGAGCATGTAAACGTTTGCCAAAATCTCAATATGATCACACACCATGATCTCAGTATTATCACCCAACCCACAACAGCCACGCCCACTACGACCACGCCCATTCTAAAACCTGACAAAACCGAACAGCCCTATCCATCACACGGCGCGGCGCCCCACTAATGAATAGCAGCGCGGTCCAGCTTGGGTGAGCCGTGCCTCCTGCCACAGGGTGGCGACGGTGAGTCACGGCCTTCTCAAACTCCATAATTAGCTCCACCGATTCAGCCTTCAAAGGCCAACCGGTCACTTGTAACCTTTATGCCCCGGTGCTAAAATGGGGGACAATAGCCCAGGGGCACGGCAGGGGGGGGCGGCGGTGACGATGGACTCTTAAGAGCGCACTGTGTGGTACCTCTAGATGTAGAAGGATAAAGGGG